CACACAAATTCACATACATCCACACATACACACACACACACACACAGACTAACATGCAAACACAGACACACAAATAGACATGTACAGTATATTAACACATACACATAGTACACACACACACACACACACACAAATTCACATGCACCCACACATACAGCACACACACACACATGCAAAATTAACATGCAAACACACAGACACGCATGTAGACATGTATATTAACACACTCATGCAGTATACACACACACAAATTCACATGCATACACACACACACACAAACATGCATATTCACACACACACACACACACTTACATGCATACACACAATAGTTTCTAAAACAATCAATTTAAACTAACTCGTTCATTCATTGTCGGCTTAGGCCCCTTATTAGTCTGGGGTCGCCACAGCGGAATGAACCACCAACTTGAACCACCAGCATTTGTTTAATGTAGCAGATGCCCTTCCAGCTGCAACCCATCACTGGGAAACACCCATACACTCTTGCATCCACACCCACACATACACTACGGCCAATTTAGTTCCTCAGTTCCACTATTGTGCATGTGTTTGGACTGTGGGTGAAACCGGAGCACCTGGAGGAAACCCACGCCAACACAGGCTGAACATGTGTATAGTTAACTTTAAATTCAAATATTGATTGTACCACTACCTGCAACCATATTTGTATTAATATTTCATTGTTTCAGTTAGCTTTCCCCTCCGGCTAACTTTTATTTCAAGTTGCTGCTTCAGTATTCTTACTGTAATACAACAATACCGTGGTAATGTACAGAACCTGAATAATCCCTCCACAGTAGGTAAGTTATGAAACTGCCTTGTTCCTGACCTTTGACCTCTGACCTTTGACCTTGCATTTTGTGTATCCAAAGGGCTTTTTAATGTGACCTTGTAAGGTGTCATCTGATGGGAAATGCATGCAGTGTTTACATCGAGTATGCAGTGTGTAATGCGTGTTTGTGTGTGTTGTCTTACACTAAAAAAAATGCCATTTGCTGTTTGTTTAAACTGCTTATTTAAATTAAGCTAAAGGGATACAATTATTGAGATTTTTTTAATAGAGGACAACATACAGTTGAAGTCAGCATTATTAGCCCTCCTGAATTTTTAGCCCCCCCAGTATGTTTTTCCTCCAATTTCTGTTTAACAAGGATATTTGTTTCAGCACATTTCTAAACATAATAGTTTTAATAACTCATCTCTAATAACTGATTTATTTTATCTTATGATGACAGCACATAATATTTGACTAGATATTCTTCAGGATGCTAGTATAAAGCTTAAAGGGCCATGACACCCCCCACTTTCGCTTCAGGTCTACCACAGAGTTTTTTCAAAAGATGCATCATAATGGGGGCGGAGCTCCGCGATCAGAAGCAGGAGTGGGCGTGGCCAGCAGAGCAGGGGAGAAGGAGGGAAGTGAAGAACTGTTGTCAGTCGGCTCACAAAATGAGAACCAAACCATAAGGAGACGCATGAGTTTATAGTTTACAAAGTTAAAATGCAAAGAAATAAACTAATTAAATGCCCTGCTACATTTGTTATTCTTAATTTCATATTCACACAACCATAATTCATATCTTTATAAAGATGGTTGTGTTCATATAAACACTATAAATGAGGACTTCTCTCCTCCTCAATCCCCGGGTCTGAATGCAGACTCAGTGCAGCAGGTCTCTTGCCCTGCCTGTTTCAACCATTAGCCCTGCTGCTGGTGATCTGGAGGATTTAGGCGAACACAGCAGCACGGCGATGTGTCTAAATGTGAACGAACTAAACTGATAACAGACAAAGTCCGCCATTCTCCAATTCTCATACTGCTCTCCCGACAAACATGCTTGCTGCACACAAACAGCTTTGCTGTATCAGCCCTGAAAGGATCGTGGGGAAAACATGCAACAAACCCTGTGGATCATGGAAACATCCACATACGACCCTTCATGAACGGCCAAATACAGTGTGCCGTGGGTTCGTGGACGCAATCTCACCCAGTCGTCAATAGCCCCTTTCACACATACAGACCTTTCTGGAAAATTGCCGGCAATTTTCCGGAAAGGTTGTATGTGTGAACAGGTCCTTTTTGAAAGTACCGCTAAATTCGTTCTGGCTATTTTCCGGGAAGAGAAGTTGTAACATTACCGGTAATTTGCCGGAATGCTGCGCTGTGTGAATGCAGAAGGAAGATTGCCGTAATAAGCGCGTGCACGTCTAGAACGTGCTGACGTGAGACGTCTGCTTTAGCCAATCACAACAGTCAGACGCATTTACATCCGCGCGGTTTATGAGAATAAAAGCCTTTGAATATTTTTCCAGACACATTTAGCTGCTAGATGTTAGTCAGATCACGTTTATATGTTCTTCTCAATGCCAACTGTGTAAATAATCATCGATGAGATGCTTATGATAAGCCGCTGTTTGTTTACCTTCAAGCTTTGTGTGTGCCTGTGAAACAGCCTGTGAGCGCCTGCACACGCACATATTATGAACATCTCGACATGCGAAAGTGATCCTGCGGAAGTTGTTCACAATATTGATCATCCACAGAGTTTGTAATTCAGTCAAATCTTTACAAATACAAGCGCAGCCGTTTAAAGCTCATTTGTGGTGAATCATGTCAGAATTTACCGGTATTTTGGAATGGATGTGTGAATGCTCTTATCCGGAAAATTTCCGTAACGTCTTCGCCTGTGTGAACAGCAGTTTTTTTAATTTACCGGTAAAGTCGTTCTGGAATTTTCCGGATATTTACCGGTATCACTGTGTGAAAGGGGCTATTGTGTCTCACAGCTTGGCACTGGCAGGTCTGTCTTGCCTTCGCAAAGCAAACGCAGTCATGAATAATTAAGAAGCCGGCTCTTCTCATAGGATAAGAAAACTCCGCTATGAATAATAATGAGAAACTGATGCGTCATCATTGCACTTGCAGTTCTGCTCTACGTTGCCGATTTTGATCCGTCCCAAAAATCATTTTAAACCCGGAAGCTGAAATCAGCTGACAAAAGCTCAAAATTGTTTTCCCCACAATTAAAGCTGACTGGTGCTAACATGGTCTTAGCTGATGCTCAACACACACTAATCTGTTAAAATCTCAAAAAAAGTACTCTGGGGTTTCTTGAACCTTTAAAGTGACATTAACTACCCTTATAGCAAAATATCTCTGGCCCAGATCTGGCCCACACCATCAGCATTTGTTTGGCCCACATGTCGCAGTGAATTACGGTACATGACTGGACCAAGTCTGGTTTCCAGACAAGAGGCAAACATGGACCATATCTGGGCCAAGTCTCAGCCAAGTTAATAACCCATAACTGGGCCTGAACTGGGCCAGATATGTTGGTGTGTCATGACTGCAATTTCTTTTATAAGCTTTATGGCTGTGCTTTTACTTGAAGTGACCTGATTGGTAGAATTTTTTCTTTACTCAAAACTAATTTAAATGTATTTTAAAAGTGGGTCAGGATAGGCCAAACTTACGTGGCCCACATATTCATTTTAACATCTGGGCCAAATACTACATTTGATATCTGGCCCATGTCTTGAGTGCCACCTGTTAGACGGTGCCATCTCAGCCAAACCTGGGCCATGTTTGGCCCACATGCTGCATGCCAGTGCCGGATGAATGCCTGCTGTGCCAGCTTTATGCCAAATCTGGGCCAGAATTCTTTGCTACCTGGGTAGGTTAATTAGGGTTATTAGGCAAGTCATTGTATGACAGTGGTTTGATCTGTAGGCAGTGAAAATATATATTGCTTAAGAGGGCTGATAATATTGACATACAGTAAAATGGTGTTTAATAAATTAAAAACTGCTTTTATTCTAGCCGATATAAAACAAATAAGACTTTCTCCAGAAGAAAAAAATATTATAGGAAATACTGTGGAAGAATTCCTGAATCTGTTAAACCTCATTTGGGAAATAATTAAAAAAGGAAAAAAATAATAATAATTTTGACTTCAACTGTCATTATTTAATGTTCAATCCACTTAAATTTGTAAAAACCAATAAGTCGACTTAATTCCTTTATGTTGATCGATTGTGTGGAGCTCAGCATGTTTCACAGTGTATATTGAAGTTTCTGTGTGTGTTTTCAGCGTGTGACGACGACTGCGCCGGGCTCTTGATTCGGGACATGGAGCGTTTGCTGCGTTTGATTGGCAGTGTCAATCTCACTCTGCCCCTCCCACTGCCCTATAAAGTGCTGTATCGATTCGAGAACGTGACGGAGGAGCTGAAGGTAAGCCTGACCTCTACTGACTTTCATTGAAGCTCTGCATACATCAGGAGCTCAAAAATATAACCTGTGCTAACCCTGCTGAATTAAAGATATTTTTACTGCCATTTAGGGGTGTAACTGTACACAATATTAGTATTTTGATGCAGCTCTTTTAGTTTGATATATACATAAGGGCAAAATTATATATATATATATATATATATATATATATATATATATATATATATATATATATATATGTATATATGTATATATCAAACTAAAAGAGCTGCATCAAAATACTAATATTGTGTACAGATACACCCCTATATGGCAGTAAAAATATCTTTATTTCTGCAGGGATAGCACAGGTTATATTTTTGAGCTCCTGATGTATGCAGAGAGTCAGTGAGAGTGAGTGGGGGTCAGACTTACCCTCAGCCCCTCTCTCACATACACAAATATATATATC